GCTATATAAAATAAAGTTTATTATTATTATTATTATTATTATTATTATTGTTCTGACTGACTGAAGCCCATCCCCAAAGCACAGAAAATGATCTCCCAGCGCCTTCAATTTTAAGACATGATGGAGTGAGTGGAGGAACACTGGACTCCACTACCCTATAGTGGTTTATGCCGGATTTTTCCAAATGCTTTCTTTTAATTGGTCAAGTCAATTCAGAACAAGTGTGTACCCATCCATACAGCAGCCAGTGCCCTGGAGCGGTCGGAGGGAGGTGTTCCTACTGGGATTTAACCCCACAAGCCTCAGGCGTGGGGTCCGGAACTCATCGGAAAGGTCTGGGCTCATTCACACCGTCCGGGCGGCTCCAAGCGCACAACTCGCGTCCGAGTGATCAGTGCAGATGCTTGTAGCTATTAAAATCGCTGATAAAGCAGAGATGGAATGGGAGTGTTATTGGTTTCCCGGCTGCAGAAACCACTGGTGAAGGCTGGTTTAGTGGAGAAAGTGATTTCCCAGTTGTCATGGGCCCGACATAACATTTAGAGAACTACTAATTATAGAAGCATCTCCAAACTAAAAATACCTATAAGGTATTTCACAGCTTAACAATGATAACGTACTACTTCGCTCCACAGGTAGAGACTGCAGAGCAACACGCTACCTTAATTATATATACATGTCGGTTTTTAAAGAACGATTTGCTAAATGCTGTAGGTGTCGGTGCTTTCATGCTTTCATGACCACATGCTCGGTGCTCGGTTGGGCACGCTTCTCCGCACGACCAATCAGCTCCAGCCTCGCCACGCAACGGGGTCGCACGCCGCGTTGCATCAGAGAGTGTATTAAATTTAAAACCTGCCGTTTCCGCTCGGCCCTCAGCTGCGCATATCTACCAGCGCACACATCGCAGCGACGGGCATAGCCCCTCCTTCGAAATCGAAGCCAACAGAAACCTTCTCATAAGCTTCTTAATTCATTCTGCCATGAGGTCATCGACTACCACGTAGCTCCTAAAAGCAGAAATAGGCAATATATTGTCTTGGCATTCAAAATACAGAAAGAGCGCGTTAAGAGAGCTAACACTGAAGCGTGAACGGCGTACGGAGAGACGAGCAGGACTCCCGAAACACACCAACATTATCCTGATTGAATGACATTACCTGGTGCGCCTGTGCACAGCCGCTTCTCTGATCGTGGATATTCGCTAACGTGTACATGCAGGTCGGCAAGTCAATCTGGATATCTCCCCCACTGATCGGCTTTACCTGGTACATCGGCATGCCTCCTGACGTCTGCTGGAAAAACAGAAAACAAACAAACCCAGCACGTTTCCCTAAATATCAGCAGTTCCCCCGATCCCTAATCTCCGCCACCCCCTTCTAAGAACCGAACCAAGAGAGGATGTCCCGCCCACTCGGGAGGCGTCACATCCGGAAGTGTCAGAGACTCTCCACTCCCATTGGTGTTTCTGAGAGCCAATCGCCTCAAGCGGTCTGTTGCAGGCTCATGGGAATAGTATTCCTAATTTCACTCGGGCACTCCTGGGACAGGCTGATCTTCAGTGTTGAAAGCATGTTCTCAAGGTCTTTAGTTCGTTAGACATTTATATTTCACATTCCGAATGTTTTAAAATGTAAGCCTTTTAGGAAACACAGCTCTTCTGGGGCGATGTTTTGCGAAGAACTCAGTTTCCCAGAACGCCCCTGAGCTGCCAGTACTTGTTGGCGGAAAATAAGCTGTACATTAGCTTTAAATGCTGAATGAAAAGTTTATGGAAAGAAGGTTTGAAATCACAGTCGGTCGGTTCATCCACTTTTCTCACCTGGAAGGACGTAGCAGTGAAATTTTGCACCTGGAAAACTCCGTTTGCCAAGACAAGATGATTTTCCTGTGATGAGAAGAAACCCGTTAGTGCTGATTTTTTTACGCTTTGGACATTAAAAAAATCGTAGCAATACGCGACATGACTGAGGAAGTGTGAGTACAGGAGTTTCCTTCTTACTTTTTATTATGCGAAATATAGTTCATGTGCATGTTTGCCAATATAAAAACAGTAACCGTAACGAGAGATAGGTGCTGAAATGATTTAGATGATTATTTACATCCTGTACTACTCGTATCATGAATAAGGCAATTTTATTTTTAAAATGTAAGTCATGGCAACAATAGCCACTGGAAATGCCTGTCCCAGTTTTGCTCTGCAATACTGAAATACTGTATTCTGGAAGAGCTGAGGCCATACTGTGCTTCTTCCAGACTCTGAAAACTGATGCTGCCCTGATGTATCTACATCAGTAGAGCCTTGTACAGGTGTACTGGAGAACCTGGAAAACAAAATATATATCATATTAATTTCACAAGCTTGTCTAATCGAATGGTGCAACAAGCTGGAATCGGCTAGCATGAAGACTGACGTGCAGCCGATAATGTTCGAAGCTGATGCAGCAGGAGATTAGCTGAAGCTGAGGATGCAGAGTTCGGAAGCAGTCGGATTCTTTTTTTCCCTGAGCTGCGTCCGTATTTCCCAGCTGATGTCCTCTTCTGCGTCTGCAGGTGTGGAGCCGCAGGCGCGATCAGGCCCATAGACCGGCGCTCCGTGCATCAGATCTGCTCTGGCCAGGTGGTGCTGAACCTGGCCACCGCCGTGAAGGAGCTGGTGGAGAACAGCATAGACGCAGGAGCCACTAACGTCGGTAAGCATGCCCGCTGTCTGTGCCAGGACACTTCAGTCACCCGGGGACTATACACAGAGTGCATGACTTGTATGCAGCAAACATTTTAATAGTCCTAGGTTTATTCCATGCAGGAAAGAGAACACAACGTTTCGGCCGTGGAGCCTTCCTCACAGCTGTTTTCTTCTTCTCTTCTCAGCAGGAGTAAACCTATTACTTGGTCCTTTGCAACCTACACATGCTGACACAGCTCCCCACCTGAACTATTTTAATAGTCAAACGTGTAAAAGACACAGGAGAATCACTTCCTCTGGTGGCCAAACGAGATAGAAAGAAAGAAAGATCTTTCTTGATCCCGAAGGGAAACTGAGGTGTTACAGCAGCCCAAGACGAGCAAGAACAGACATCAGAATACACTAAAAATTAAAATAAGTACAGCAATACAAAATGAAAAAAAATGCATTCTTCTTTAGCACGTACACTGTTTTCTGAAAAGACTGGGGCCTGCTCTCCAAAGGCCAGCCGGTCTCTGCTCCGTCAGCGGGCTGGGCCGGCTCTCGGTGACGGCAGTGCGCCTGTGCGCTGTGTTTGCAGAGATCAAGCTGAGGGAGTACGGAACGGAGCTCGTGGAGGTGTCGGATAACGGCAAAGGGGTGGAGGAGGCGAACTTCGAAGGGCTAGGTGCGTATTCAGGACGCGTGAGGCAGGAGAAAAAAACAAAACAGGCCACCCTTCGATGAAACGAGGGAAAGCTGCCTCTCATCTCTTCATCTCTGTTGCAGCTCTGAAGCACCACACCTCCAAGCTGCAGGAGTTCTCGGATTTGGTTCACGTGGCAACGTTTGGTTTCCGGGGAGAAGCTCTGAGCTCCCTCTGTGCCCTGAGGTACCTCACGGGGGGGGGGGTCTGAAGCAGTCACCGTGGTAACAGGCGATTGTCTTCCATTGCAACAGTCTCCTGGACTGCGGTCCACCTCGTGGGACATTTGGACTATCTATTGCTCTTGTCCTTCCTGTTTCATTTACATTCCAGTTAATCCACCACAATGATTGACTGCTGAATTGCTGCTTCCTATGGGGATTTGTGTATTTCGCACCGCATTCCCTGCATTCCCCACGCGGGCCTGGGTCTGCGTGACGGAGGCGGGACTCCGCCCCTGTCGTGTTTCCCCCTTGCGGGACTGACGCCCTCCGCCCGCTGTCTTGCAGCCAGCTCAGCGTGGTGACCTGCCACGAGTCGGCCGGAGTGGGCACCCGGCTGGGGTTCGACCGGGACGGGCGGCTGACCCAGAGGAGCCCCCAGCCCCGCCAGCAGGGCACCACCGTGACCCTGCAGCAGCTCTTCCACACTCTGCCAGTGCGCCACAAGGAGTTCCAGCGCAACATCAAGAAAGTAGGCCAGCAGCCTCGGGCGGGTGGTTCAAATATTGGTTGCAAAAATGAGATCCCACCTAGACGATGTAATGGCAATTGCTGGGTTGGTTTAGTAGCTTTCAGGTATTGCGTTCATTTCCTAATGACCTTCAGTGAACAGGGATCTGTGTAATCCTGCATGTGCCTCTTTACAGTATATCTGCTGATAACCCAGTTTGTTGTCATGCAAAGGCCTGGGAAAAAGGTAAAGGCAGAGCTGCTGGCTGGAGCCGGGCCCCTGTCGTGACGCGGGCTGCGTGTCGTTGCAGGAGTACGCCCGCATGGTGCAGGTCCTGCAGGCCTACTGCATCGTCTCCACGGGGGTGCGCATCACCTGCACCAACCAGACGGGCCAGGGCAAGCGCAGCCTCGTGCTCAGCACCAGCAGCAGCCAGAGCATGAGGGACAACATTGGCTCAGTGTTCGGATCTAGACAGGTAGGTGTGTGGGGCTTTCAGAAGCCCAACTCCTCCTCCTCCTC